TTAAATTAATTTCATGTAATTAGGCCTGATCTGTCAGAAATCTGATTACCCCGGAATCAATCCTTGTTCCCTTCGTCATTAATTAGAAAGAACCCCCTAGTTTAATCGTTTTATTCGCATTTTTAGTTTCCAGCAACCAATCTCGCACGACGCATTTTTATTTTATTTTTAATCGTTGAATTTAGTTAATCTTTAATTCTCTTTTGTCCGTCCCTGTGGAGACGATACTCGTACTTTCACCAATATTCTACTATTAATTTAAGTGCGAGAAAACTCACATCATTATACTTTGTGGAAAATATGATTTTAAGCAAAAAAATCCTTCTTGGCATGATATACGTAATTTGCTTGTATGAGTGCTTATTTGAGTGATTATTCTCTTTCCATACTTGATTAGACATCTACTTATTAATATAGCTTATTACTTTTTGGAAAGTATCCTTATTTGATTGCATTTGGTGGTTGACCATAGCACTTACGTATTGCATGCTTTGCTAAATATCTTCTTGTCATAAAAGTTATCCTTGATTAACTTAATAAGTGAATAGTTTGAGTGTGGATATTTTCTGGCATGGGCCGTCACATGCTTATTATGGTAGGTAAAATATTCCCTTGCTATACGGATTTGAAAAAGTAAAAGTTGTTTGAAATATATTTCATATCTTAATACGTTGCTTGCTTATATTGAGAATAATATTCCTACCTTTTTGGGAATTGACCGAAGTTTGTCTTATTTGGTAATTAATTGATCACACAAGATTTGGATGAGTTGTTTGTATTTATTCTCTTAGTCCGGGACTGATATGCTACCTTGAATATATGATTAAGATATTTTAATTCGGCTACCTTATATATTGAGCTCGGATATGGGAAATATTATAAAGAAAAAGGAAAGCAATTCAAAATATTGAGGCAAGTCCCAAGATTAGAAGATCAACTATTCAAGGAAGGATGCTTAAACGGTCTGCCCAAGACAACCTATATAAACAAAGCAGCCAAAGAGAAATGATGTGTGCTTGACCGAACAATTATAGAGAGAAATACTTATAAGAGAGTATCAAGATCAAGGCATCTGGACCTGCTTACAGAGTTCTAGATGTAGTTTCTTTTCTCTTACTTGTTTTGTAATTGAAGTTTGAGGAACAGCTTAAGTGTAGCTTCCTCTGGTTGGGGTCGTGTGTGTGAGAGCTTTGTTGTAAAGCTGAGAGGCTCTCTACCCGCAAGGTAGAGATGCATAACTCTTCCTAGAGAGGATAGAGTTGGGGTGGCTCAAGGTCGAGGTTTTTTAATCCCTTTGAGCCAAGGGATTTTTCCTCGTATAAATCCTTGTGCACTTTACTATTTTGCAATTCCCTGGACCCCACACTAGAACTGTGCGAAAAACTTCCACGGTTCCACACACACACACACAATTCACCCCCCCCCCCCCCCCCCCTCCCCCTCTTGTGTTGCTAACCGTTTCATCAGAAGAATATTATTAAAGGAGATGAATCCTACTATAATTAATATCAAGATGTTAACTAATTGTCATCTTAGCAACACTCCCCAATATTAATATAGAGGAAGAAAATACTACTCTAACTAATGTCAAGATGTTAACTAATTGTCATCTTAGTAACACTCCCCAACATTGATATAGAAATAGTATTTAAAGGAAGAATTAATAATTAATATTCAAGGGAAGAAGTTAAGAAAATAACTCACAACTTTAATAATCAACAAGCTTCAAGAGCAACACCAAGAAATGGAAGTTTAGCTCCTCATTTGGAGACTAAACATGCTAGAAAAATATAAAGAAATGCTATTCTAGACTGAGCTTAAGAGTATATGTGAATTGGTGATCAAATGGGAAGGAAAAGGGGTGTATTTATAGGTGTTTGGAGGTGGCACGGTCATTTACCCGATCGGGTTTTTCAGAAACCCGATCGGGTTTCTTGAGTACGTAAGTGCCCAGAATCTTCATTAGTCACATCTACCCGATCGGGTTTTTGATTTATCCGATCGGGTAAAAGACAAATCTTTGCCAAATCTTCTCCCTGCACGTTTAATTGCCTCTAAATCAAAATTTGATCTTCGGGTCAAGTCAAACCCGATCGAATTTTTGGAAAACCCGGTCGGGTACATTTTTGACTATTTTCCCAAATTTTCACTTTCTCTTGTTCCCTTGCACTTTCACCTTTCCATGATCCTTTTGATGATCTTTACCTAGTTTAAGCTCAGAAAATCCCTAATCTATACAAATTACGAGTAACTAGGAAAAATAAAGTATTACACCAAAAGTGCGTAATTTCCCAAACAACAATAAATAAAATTAGTTAAAATTACAAACATAAACAATAACAATTTTACATTATCACTCCTTCACAATCGATTGGACTGCAAATCGTAAGGCGAAAGAAGATGAGATAACCACACCAGGTGACCCAGATGAACAATAAATATAATGGCCGCAGCGATGATAATGGCCTTGGTGGTGGTGGTGGTGATGATGATGGTTTTGGAGGTGGCGCTAATGGCCTTGGCGGCAGCGGCGATGTTATTGGCCAGCTGTGATGGTGTGACGGGTATCTCTTTGGTTGCAGCAGGAATATGTACTACGGTGAATTAGAAAAGGTGAAATTCATAAGAATAATCTCTACTTTTAGTGATTCTATAATAATAATAATTCCTACCCAGAGCGTTCAGAAAAATAATCGGTACTATCAATGATGTTCATAAGAATAAATTAGGGTGAATTTAAATTAATTTTCGTTTAATAGGGACAAATTCAAAGTAAAATTTGTTTAATCCTAAAATCTTTTTAATCCTAACACAATTTTCGCCATATGTGGTTTTCTGTAGGTTGAAACATAAAAGTGTTAACCGAGACGAAGAGTGGTGAAGGTGAAAGTGGAGGTACGGGTTGTGAGTACTAAATGGGCATTAGTTTAATTTCACTTCAATTTATTCTTATAGACATTATTGCTAGTGCGGATTATTTTTACGTACACTCTGAGTAAGGATTATTATTGTAGAATGCTCAAAAGTAGGGATTATTCTTGGAAATAATTACATAAATATGACCAAAATAAAGATGATTTACAAAAATATGATTAATGACTAGAGTAGTAATGAAATCATAGTAATTCATGTTCAAGTTTTGAGCTTAAGATACCACAACACCACATTGTAGTAATAAATAATCATATTTATGTAAATATGTTTTAGTTTAGTAATATTCTTGTAAAAAACTCATTATTCCTGAGAATTTCGCCATTAAAAATCCAGTGGCATTGTTATAATTAAATTGAACTCATTTTATCACTGAGAGCTATGCATCATCTTCACAAAAAATGTCCACTACCATAAACTATAATGTATATCAGAGATGTGGTGCCATTGCGCCCAGATGTGGCGTGATGATCGATGTGGACTGATGCAGTGTTGTTGCAGTTTTGCCGCGGTTACGTTGTGTATTTTCTTTGTGACTAAATAAGATTCATTTACTTCTATTTTGATAATAAAACATTTGAAGTACTTAATTCTATTTCAGATGATTGTCTATGTTTGACTTCTATTTTGAGAAATTTGTTTTGGTTTTATTATTCCTAATTGATATTTTTCCGTCTCCTTTATGTACTTATTATACTTCCTTTAAGCTAAATTTTGATCTTATTGTTTGGACTAAGATTTGATATTGGGTTGGGCTCCTTGGGTTGTTTACACCAAAAGGACCGTCATTGTTTTCCATAGAATAGACCAGCACTCAATTATCAGGTCCTAGAAAAAAAATTAAAGGAAGGTAGATTCTATGGTATCAATAAGGTATCATACCTTCGTCCACATGGACCAATCGAAATGTTGCAGTTGAATTATTTATATCTAAATTAAAAATGATATATTCATTTGGACCAATCAAGTGAATGGTAGGTACGGTACCCCATTTTTTAAACGGGTATCGGAGTTGTCACCTTAAAGGAATTGCTTCAAACAAAGTAAAACATAGACATAGTACATAAATAGGAGTATTCTTAAGATAGGTTTATTTGATTCTATTAGAAGCATACAACTTTCTCTATTAGGAGTGAATGGTCCTATTTTAGGGAAAAAACAATATCTATCTTATTTGTGCACTTTATCTATGTTGTGGAAATTATCAATTACTTCTCATTTTTCTTTTGAAAATTGAATCAATTCAATTTTTATATAAAACAGGATCCTATTTGTACAATCTACTCAAATGCACTCCTATTTTTTTTATCAGTTTGTTTAATTATAAAGGTTTTCAAGAAATAATGCAGTAAAATGTGTGAAATGTACTGGTTATTTTTGTAAGAAAAAATACTTCGAATTGCTCTTATTAGACTTCTTTTGGTAGAAAGTTATGGAAATTCGTTCAAGATGAATATTTTTCAGCCAAACATATATTTCTATGGAGTCATGGAGACAAACATGGCAATAAAACTAAAAGTTAATTAGTAAAAAAAGATAATTCACATTATTGTATTGTAATAGTAGGGGCCAGAAATATGTGTTCCCTATTGTCTTGGAGGACTAGTTATTAAATGTATACTTTGGACAGTGAGAATGAGTCAATGAAGCAACTAACATGCAACTTAACACTCTCTCATTTTACTCTTTGGTGGACGGACGAGAGACAAGCACTCCTTAGTCAATCACTTGGTCATCATTCCTTAGTTTTTAATTTGTTACCATAGATCGATTACATATGTATATATAGACACAACATAATATTATTCATATATGCTCTTCTCCACCCGCTCTATCAATTGCTACACTCCTCCCACTTGTCATATCTACTCTCACACTCTTAGCTACGCTCCCATTTCTACCTCTAAACTTTCCACCACACAACAAACCATTATTTCCTCGTGTAAATTAGCTTAATGCTAGGCTTAACCTTAACCCTTCATTTAGCTTCAATTCTAGCCTCATATCCCTCAAACAACTTCAACTACAAGAACAAACTCCCCACACTACACCATTTCATCACCCATCTTGTTGAGGCCATATTGAGTGATTAAACATATAATTATCAAATTAGACATGGATGGCATTGAACAAGATGGGCAACAACCAATCTTTAAACATTATTGTAGAGTTTGTAAGAAGGGATTTATGTGTGGTAGAGCTCTTGGAGGGCACATGAGAGCTCATGGGATTGGAGATGAAAGTGCCACCATGGAGGAGGATGAACAAGCTAGCGATTGGGAGGATAATAGGATTAGTAATGATGGTTGTGGTGGCGGTGAGAGGACGAGTATCAAAAGGATGTACCAATTAAGAGCGAACCCTAATCGCCTAAAGAGCGTTAGAGTTTGTGAGAATTGCGGGAAAGAGTTCTTTTCCTGGAAGTCCTTCCTCGAGCACGGAAAGTGCAGTTCTGATGATGCTGAATCTCTAGTGTCGTCCCCTCCCGGCTCAGACGAAGATGATGCCGATGAAGATTTCGGGAGGTGTGGGCAAGGATGGTCAAAGAGGAAAAGATCTTTAAGGGCAAAAGTGGGAAGCAGCAGCGGCTTTGGTGGTGCAACCGTTGCTGCTTCCGACGAAGATGAAGACATCCTCCTCGCAAAATGCCTCATTGATTTGGCAAACACGACGGTGGACAATAACAACAATAACACCAATAAATATATGGTGGTGGAGCAGGAGGCGGAGTCCATCACAACCTCCGCGGAGGAGAGACGGAATCTCTCCACGGAGGAAAGACGGAATATGCCACCTTTCGTAGCTCCGCCATCTAGCCGACCACGATTTGGGGCCGTTCAAGAGAAGGCCAAAGGGATAATTTCTTCTTCTTCTTCAAAAGGGTTGTTTGAATGCAAAGCATGCAAGAAAGTTTTCACATCACATCAAGCCCTAGGCGGACATAGGGCGAGCCACAAGAAGGTTAAAGGGTGTTACGCAGCCAAACAGGACCTGGACAACGACAACTCATTAGGAGACGATGATCCAACCACCACTCATGATGAGTTCTTCCCGTCCAACAAAACATCCTTGTACCAGCTCGAAAATGGCGGACCGTCAAGAAGGAAACCCAAGGACCACGAATGTTCCATATGCCATAGGGTTTTCTCGACTGGGCAAGCCCTAGGAGGTCACAAAAGGTGTCACTGGATCACGACTTCTAACTCCTATTCCCATGCAACCGACCACACTTATTCCACCACCGCCGTCCCGAAGTTCCACTTCCACGGCCAAAGAACCCGACAAGATCAACGGCCGCCGTCCGAGGCAGCCCTCGACCTTAACCTCCCGGCGAATGGAGATGACATGTTGGCCGGTATTAGGCGGGACCCACGAAACCTGTTGAGCTTTGAGGTATCCACAGATCCCCAGTGGACTCAACTGGACGACAACAATGACTACTACAACAACGACAACTATGTAGAAGTCGCCGGCACCGGCGCCGGCCATGGTGTGACTAATAAAAATGAGGATGAAGAAGAAGATAATAAAGTGGAACTAGCAAAGCTCAGTGACCTGAAAGAGATGAGTAGTAGCATTAAGGGTAATGATTCTCCATGGTTACAGGTTGGAATTGGTTCCACAGCTGAAGTTGGGGCTGATTCTTAATTAATCAAGTTGATTAATTACTAAATTGGCATGCAGTATGGAAAATTTAATAGTGTTGAATAATGAGTGTTTGATTTTTTGCTTGTACTTATAAGATTCATTCATCAAATATTACATGATTTTTTAAGTGCATGTATACATATACACACATTCTAGCTTTGTTCTCAATTAATTTTATATACTTACTCTTCAAGTGTAAATTCCATATTGATGCCTACATGCTTAAATAAAAATTATCTTTGACTGGAGTGGATATTTAATATTTGTGTGGCTGAAATTTATATGTATGATAGAAGAATAATACTAACCACATATTTACTCTAATTAATATGCATTAGAGCTTTGGAAAGGACAAAAATACGTAGTACGGGGTATAAAAGTTTTGAAATTCCAAAATATAAGTATCATGTTTTTTATTCCTTGAATAGGAGTAAATTTCTGTCAAGTTTAGCATTACTAGGCTTTAAAACATGTCATTTTTCCCAAACTTGGCAGATTACTCCTATTCAGGGAATAAAAAACATGATACTCATATTTTAGAATTTCAAAACGTTTTTGCTCCTATTTAGAGCAATTTTGGAATTGAGATGGTATTATATGGTGTTAGAACCGGGGGTAGATAGTAAACTTTTAGATTGTTAGAACCGGGGGTAATAATAATATAATGTAAGGGTGTAGAAATATGGTTGGACCGAATATCACTTCTAGTCACGTAAAATTTACGCTTTCCTAACAGTGGGTTTACTACTCTTGCCATACTAGTTAATATAACAATACACAAATTCATCGATTTATTTAAGCGTGATTGAGAATTGTGGTTGGGGTGTAAACATCGTTATAGATAAAATATAATTGGATATAATTTAATTATGAACATTAATTATAAGAAATAAATGTAAGTCATGGCAATATGTAATGTTATTATCATAGAATTTGAAACATTACAAATTATGGAACACTTCCTTGTAGACAACATTCATCGTCTCATCCTTTGGGCAACCTTCTTCATTAAGAATGAGGATTTTGAGACCCGCGCGATTGGTTACTCTTGAAACAGCAACATATAATTGTCCATGGCTGAAAACCGGTTTTTTCAACAGGAGACCAACGTGGGTGAGGGACTGACCTTGACTTTTATTGATGGTCATTGTATAAGAAACCATAATAGGGAATTGTCTTCTTTGAAATCTAAATGGCAGCCTAACATCAGACCAGGTCAAATTAAGATAGGCGCGGAATTAAAAAATTTTGTCCTGCACTGGTACCACTCAAAACCCTACCCTCCAAGATGTGATCACACATCCTTGTTATGATGAGTCTTGTCCCGTTACATAAACCCAATGAGTGATCTATATTACGCAGCAACATGACTGGAGTTCCAATCTTCAAAGTTAAGTTGTGATTTGACACTCCAGAGAGTCTAATACTATTCAAGTATTCTGGAGTGTGTAACTCTGCTATTAGATCATGAGTTGAATCAGATTTGCAAACACTATCTCAACTAAGGTATGTTCTTGCCGCTTCCTTGGAATTTAAACTTGTCATATAGTCATTGACCAAATCAACAACCTCAAGGGTTGGAGCAAGAATAGCTCTATCTCTCAGGTAATTCAAATCAGTACTTGAATTTAAATAATCGGGATATATGACACTACTAGAAAAATGCCTTACAGTGACACCAAATTAGTGTCACTGAAAGTTTCTGTGACACTAAAAAAGTGTCGCTGAAAGTGGGGGCTAGTGACACTACGGGTGACACTTTTAAAGTGTCACTACAAGTGTCACAGAATTGTGACACTACGATATCACAATATAGTGACGCATTGGTGACATAGATATTCGGCGACACTTTTACATCATAGACTCTAGTGACACTTAAGTATCACTAAATAGTGATACCTTGGCGACACTACGGTATTACAAAACTTAATGACACGCTAATACTATGAAATCATACACATGATACATTGATTACAATCATAATTTAATACTAATAAATAACCAAATGTTCAAAATTTTTATTTATATCTCAAATTCACACGTAAATGTGATTGTACATTCTACATAATTCATAGGGACGTATCACGAAACAATAAGTAAAAACAAGAACAAAACGCTAACAAATCCAACTTTTAGGCCATTCTTCACAGGGCCTTCACATTTCTTCTTATACATAGACATCATATCTTCTGCTGCACATAATGAAGTCATTGTTCTATTACTACGTTTGGACTCAGATGCTCAGTTGTTATCTATCAACTGCAAAGAATGTGCTAGGTGTTGTATCTTGCACATGTGAAATTCTGCAAACCTAAAAGAAGTAAGTTACAATTAAAAAAATATCAGGAAGTAAAACATTAAACCTAGTCAACTCTAAGAACATAACACTTGTGTTATATATTTTAGGCCTCACTTGGAATGATTTATTTTAGGTTCTAACAGGAATGGCTTATTTTAGGTTCTCACTTGGAAATCAAGCCCCCTAACTCAAACAACACCTAAAGTACTCCTTGCCAATCCCTACAAATGCCAGCTGTATCCATTTGTTGCAAAGGGTACCAGAAACATCTCTTTAGCATTCATGTTGCAACAATGGTACCAGAAAATCAGCTACAGTTGATTTGTGCCTTGTCAAGAGTTCCTGGTTTGAAAATTTTAGTCAGTTACAAAAATACAAAAACACACTGTGGAAAGTAGAGGCATCAACGGTCTTGGCAGAAACCAATCAAGACAGACTGAAATAAACCAACCATTTAAGCATTGAACAAAAGAACACACAAACACTAGGTATCTATCAAAGGTCAAAATTTGGTAGTTGTATGTATGTGAAAAACCTCTTCATATGTTGTGAATTCAGGACATACCTGAAGACCAGAGAGAAATTTTGAGAAGTTCAAATTATTGCATGTTCTGTAAGAACACTAAAAAAAGAAAATGACGGAGAGGTGTATCTCGAAACTCAGCCGGTCGCCCGTTAAGAATGGAGTCGTAAACAAAAGCTGAACTTCTAAGATCAATAAAAGAATAGTAATAATAAAAACATTAACAATAATAATACACATAACAAGAAAAAACCCGAAGTAAAAAAGGTTTACTTCGACTTTCTGCAATGCATTAGTTGGTTCAGGAAGGGATCTTTGTGTGTTTGAGTGACCTTTCGAAGCAGAATTCAATCCCAGATTTTCCCTCTGCTCCAAGTGGTTACCCTTTCTCTGTACTACATCATCTGCCACATCCCAAAAACAGTCAAGCAAAAACAGCAACCCACTTCAACATCCCAAAAAAAGCAATCATTTTTTTAATCGATCCCATCTTGATTTTATGAAGGAGATTAGAAAGAACTAACCTTGTGTGATGATAGGGCCGCAGTACTAGAAAATTAATGCAATAATTTGGACAGCATGAGAAGAAAAGACAAGAAAATTAAACCCATTTCTCTCAAAATACAATAATGTTCAGAATTATACCTGGACAGCATGAAGAAAATTAATATATCCTCTAAAGTTTGCACCAGATGCTAATTTCAATTCATTGCCACCAAAAAGATATATATATCATCAGTAGATCTATATAATTGATATTGTCATTTAAAAGATGCTTTAACATATTCAAAATCAAAGCCAAACTGGTCAGGTATGCATTACTTGGCAAAGAAAGCCTTTCTTGACAACATCCAACTCCTATATAGTTGGGGCTAAGGATCTGGTTAACCTTTCATATATATATATATCAGGTTGCTTAAACAATTCCTTCAGCTGCTCCATCTGATGTCAAGGCATGCATTATAAGCAAAAGCATATGTATCATTAGTTTTCACTACTCTAAGTCAAAGAATTAGGTATTACCTAGCTAGAGAAAGCCATATCTTATGACTATGAATAAGAAAATTATCACCCAAGCATTTGTGTGAAGAGACTTTTATTCAGCTAGGTTTGTAATCAAGCCATACACCTAATTAAATAAGGTTTCACAAATGCAGATAAAAAAATTAAAATCTAAAAGAAGTAAGATTCGGAAAACAAAAACCATAGTAGGTCAAAGAGAGAAATCACAATAGAGAAGTCAAAAGACTTATAAACTCAAACAGAATTTCCACATACCTAATCTGCTAGTCTGATTAGAGGTGTGGGAAAACAATATGTTAGCAGATGATAAAGGGTGTTATAGCAGTCGTAGACGACAGAAACTTGTGGAGAAAAGTCACGATGTATAGTGGAGGAAATCTACAATGCCCGGTTGAGGTCAGAGAAGTCGTGAATCCGGTAGAGGGCAGCCGCCTGGCCGTTATTCATTATTTTATCAATTAACTGTCAAAAGGAATTCAAATCTTCATCTACCTTAGCATGTACCAGCAGTTTCTTTTTTGTTTTTCTTTTTCTGAAAAAAGACATTGCCATTTTGATTCCTTGATATAATTTAAAACCCTGTAGTTATATTCCCAGAAGAAAAAAAAATATGGGAAGCTTAATAACTTCCAGTTCTCTGCTCCCAAAGTAAATGCGAAAAAACATTACTGTAAACCATTCAAGAATTTTAACAAACATGTGATATGCATAAGAACATAGTAGACAGAAAAGCAAACTCAGATAAACCGTTTAGAACATTAAATCTATAAAACATACAACAAAGCTAAAACACAATAATTTTGACAAGCACATGATCCGCATAACATGGTAAAGATGTAAGAAGCACACTATAACAGCAAATTAAAAGTGGATTCAAGAAGGAGTTACTGATATAACTTCAAACAGATACATGAAGTCATGAAGAGAATCTCAGATGTAACTAGCAGTTCACTCAGTGGTGGAATCTGGTATTGAAGAAAATCTCAACCAGTTACATACCTAAAATTTTTAAAATTGTGGAAAGCACCGTGACTAAGAATGCTTGGAGCTTAGATCGACGACTACAGCTTGACCAGGGAGAAAATATTTGGCCGACAATGGAAGAAGGGGATAGGGTTAAGATGAGCGAGGGTTCTAGGGAGACGAGTGTCTCTGAGGAGACGAGTGTAGACATCATCCAATCGTCCAGGCCAACCATCTGCCGGCGCATATGAAATCCATGAAACAAGAATTACTCCA